AATTCAGTCGACCAGTTAAGCACAATCACCATGATCAACTATTTGATTTTCACATCTTCTCTGTCGACAGACAATCAATAACACAGTATGCCAAGAGGCTACATAGATTTAGTTGATAGAACCATGAAGCCTGATGTACTCGCAAATACTTCACACAAGTAAAAAACAAAGTCAATTCAGTCGACCAGTTAAGCACAATCACCATGATCAACTATTTGATTTTCACATCTTCTCTGTCGACAGACAATCAATAACACAGTATGCCAAGAGGCTACATAGATTTAGTTGATAGAACCATGAAGCCTGATGTACTCGCAAATACTTCACACAAGTAAAAAACAAAGTCATCGTCCTCGAAAATATGCTGCTAGTGCTCTCATACCAACAGTCCTTTACAAGCAGCCGTTACATTGTACTTGAAACAAAATAATCAGGAATACGTACTGTCTATACTGAATTACATATTAAGAATGCAATAGTTGATAATAACAAGTATCGTTCTTCAAGTTATATTAACAGGATACAGGCTATGAGTAAAAAATGAAAAAAGGGGAAAATCACTTATGCTCTTTTTTGATGGATATCGTCCAGACAAGATCAGAATCCGAATGAACCGTGATTTTCTCATCACAAACAATGTTTGAAGTACTAATTAAACCGCCAAAGCTCATACTCGTGTTAGCTGCAAAAAAATAAAAAATTCCACCTTGTTAGCCAGAGTATTGACAAAAGTTTGCAGCCAAAAAAGATGTTCAAAGTCTTTAGATCATCAGATGCACTTTAAAGTGAACATATGTATGTGTCTGTGTGTGCATGCGCGAATGCATCAATGTGAAACTAATTTTACGGTTAAAATTTACGTCCATGGATGATGAATTTATGATACTAGTTTTATGACATTGGAAGAAATTCTTTAATAATTTTCACACCGGTATAAGGTCACAGACTGCTCATTGGTGTAGAACACCATGGTTCGGTTCCTGTGTGAAGAACTAAAATGACCCAAAGCATTCAAAGCTATTATATAAGATAAACACAATGGTCTTATACTAGACTCCAAAAATTATAATGCCATAACCTCAAAGCAAAGTCAAGTGATGTTGCTTACTCAGATTCCATTGCAGTCCAGTTGTAGTGGTACTCGATGATGGTGTACCCAGAGGAAAAAGTCCACAGTTTGGGCCTTCGACCGAAGGCTGTATACAGATCTTGTGACGATGGGTTTTTGGTAGTAGATGGATCAAGGAGTCATCTGATAGAAGAATAATTCTGATATTTGAGAATCGATATAGAACATTGAGGTTTCCAACTTCATGATCAAATCTTCCTCCAAGTGCTCCAGCAACAAGAATGCACAGCTGCAGTTAAAACATGTAAATATTGGTTCCTCAATGAAAAGATATAATGGAAATTTCAAAAACTGATGGATTGATATAACACAGAGTGACGACAGGATCACCCTATCAATGAGAATTCTAAAATCACATCAATAATGAACTAATGATTTAAGGGTCTAAGTTCACACAAGATTAATTGATTAAATTAACTAAGCTTTAGAATGTCTATTCTAGGAGGTATCAAGTCTTTCTGAAATAAAATATTATTGGTAAGCGGATATGATGTCTGATTCCAGTCATGAAATCAAAAGTACAAACACTGGATATTTCGGGGTTAATTGGATCGTTAGTCCCTGTATTTATCTCCTAATTGGACCTTCATACTTATATTTTAATTGCTTGGATGACTGATGATGTAATTAATTATTAGTTCAATTGCTAATCACTTCTAATAATTTTTATCAATTGACATAACGGATTTCGATGACATGATTAAAACAAATTATTGATCATTCACATAACATATTTATTTTTGTGTGTAATAATTTTGATCACTCACGGAATGCAAATTTGTGACATGTTGGGCAACTTGTATTGGGTAATTATATTGCATTTGGTAGTTTGTTCGAGGAAATATTAACTTGTGACATATTGAGTAAGTTATATTGCTTAAAAATGAATGAAAATATACCGCTTGAATTCACAAAAGATGTTAAAAGTGACTAGCAATCCAATTAGTATCTAATTACATGTCCGGTTATCCATGCAATTAAAACATAGGTAGTGAAAGTTCAATTAGGAGATAAATACCGTGGCTAACAATCCAATCAACCCAAATTTTACTGAATAGAGATCTTGTTATATGATGAATCAAAGTTTAGGTACATTTTATTAGTTTGACACCATTGATCTAATCAACTTATGTTTTACTGACAAGTGACAATTGTTCATTGTTCACACCAAGACATATCCAGAAGTTTCAAGCCTTTTTATCTTAACTGGAGGCAATCATTGCCATCAACTTGTACCAATAACCATTATATCGCCATAATTGAATTTTTTAGCACCCACAGATGTATAAAAGTTTCAAGTTGTTTGACATTTGAATTGGAGGAAATCAATTATAAGGACCATGGTTAATATAGGCAAATGCAGAGTGTACTACAACTGTACTACTCTTGTCTTATTAGACACAAAAAAGTGGGTCCATAGCAACTCATAATTTCTCTTTGCCGTTTACAAAAAAGGATCCAACTTTTTCTTTTTTGTGTCCAGTAGAACAAGAGTAGTATATCTCTTGTGGCACAATTATCACTACTTATTAAGATATAACATACCTGAGGTCATTTGACTAAAATATCACTTACATTAGGTTTCTCAATGTCCGGTGTACAGTCACAAATATATGATATGCACTTGTGTAGATCTGTTGTGTCTTGATCATGTGAGGCATCCACTATGTTGACTCCCTGCCATAATAAAGAGAAACAATTAAAATGCTTAACTCCTACAGAAACAAATAAAATTATGCTACACACTTAAAATTGTTGATGTAGGAAAGAAATGGAAAAAAATAATATAAAACTATCGCACCATCTACGCCTCCTTTATCTACTAATTTGAGTGAAAAAAACAATAAATTTAGTTACAAAGGGACAGGGAGATGAGAGGAGCAAAAATTCATGTAAAACAGTTTCATATCACTATGTCAGAAACAATTACAATAGGTCATATGTCCTAAAAGATAAAAGAAAATAAAAGCCACAAGTAGTCATGAAAGGAGAGTTCTACACTTCTACTCTTTAACTGACAGGAAAAAAAAGATCTACATAAAATTAGGAACACAAGACTCCAAACAGTAGTTTGTATACACTGTCGATCGTTTGAAGCCTGCAAACATGTATCATTTGCCTTTTGGCTTTATGTCTGGCAACAAGCTCTTCCACAAAGTCATATTCTTTCCCTCCTTCTAGACTCTTTTTCTAAAAGAGGTTTTGCTCCTTGATTGTATAAGTTAGCTTCAACCATGTAGACTCATTTTGATGATGTTCTTTTGTCTATAGAACCGAAGCAATTTCCTTCTGGATACAGGACTCTTCCATCAATATCTACCTACATAAATAAATACATGTTCCTATTTCCCAGCCACTGTTTGCCTATACAATTAAAAAAAAAGAATCTTTTACTCCACACCGGTGAAGCTTACATTAAGAAAATATCTAAAAATTCCAGTACATAATTATATATGCCTTTTATGACAGGTAGGGCACCACCCAAGCAAAGTAACGTTAAGCACATTAAATATAAATTCTGCCTATGCAGCGGAAGGTAAATGTCACTTATGAAAAAACAACAGAAGGCAGAATTGAAAAATGTTTTTCCAGTTAATAAAAACATACGTTGTAGAGACTAACTGTACCCGTTAGCAATAATTACACAATCTAGCAACACAAATGGTGAAAGCATAGTTGCGCGATTCCCTGAACCCCCCTCGAATCGTCGTACACTTCATGCGAACCGGTTCCCGTTACATCTAGGAACCAATTCCCTCCGATTCACGAATTAGTTCCCCAAAATCATGGGGATGCAACGTCCCTTTAAGTGTGTACACGCGCAAGATGCAATGCAATGTGTGCAATCGAGTAAAAGGATGTGCACAGTAGAATATATGAGTCAATGACTTTATTATAACTAAATATCTATGTTAATTAAATGTGAAATAAAACCATGATCCCAACACAAACTATGCAAAAGGAGAAACAGAACAAAATAATGAATTTCATAAAAAAGAAGCATTTAAGTATTTTGTATGCAAAAAATTGAAATGTATAATTAGCTTTCAAGTTTCTAGTTAACTACTATACACTTAGGAAAATGGTAAGCCATAAGCGCACCCAATTTTTTTTTACAACATACCATTGACTGAACTTTCGTACCAAAGCAAGCTACCCCCATTAAATCCAAATTTTCTAAGTGGCGAATTGCGTACTTGAATTCGTACCATGGCCCGCTACGTACCATGTGCAATGAAACTATGGGTGAAAGGAAAAACGACATGCCAACAAGATATTTTTATTCTTTTCAATCTGCTCCAGCAACAAAGAGGAAAATACAATACAATGTCCTGGGTCACTTGGCAAATATTTGAGTGCTGTAATAGGCAGAACAAACTTACCAAATTGATGTAGTATTCCTTTACTTCTGATCTTATTGAGTCCATATCTCCTTTGATTACATCTGGCTTGTGTCTGTTTATCATTACAGTAAAAGAGTCAAGTTTTTGTAAAACATTCTCCGATAATTGCAATTAATAGATAAATCTAAATGTTTAATTTAGATTGAGAATGCATAATGATAAGAAGCACAAAGATTTCTCGTTATCAATCATTTAGCAGTGGTCACAGTATCCATTGCCATTCCTGTATAGTCTTTGTCCTTGCTTCAGGTTGATATCACTGGTTGTGATGGAAGTTGTAACTAAATCTTTATATATAATACACGTAAACGTTAAAAAGGCTTCCTCAATGATTGTATGATACAAGTTGTAAGTTAAGCTTAATATATAATGTGTGAAAGGGTGTAAGGATTAACCATTGCTTCACATCAACCTACTTCAATAACACACATACATAATGGCAGCACTCATCTAATGAATAGGTTTTTCAATGCAAATGGTATTAAAGTTTTGAAATCAAGTACTTCATCTTCCCTCGAATACTGCAATTGTTAATGTTTAGAAGGCATTAGGCCCTGGACCTAGCACATAGCACAAAAGCACCTACGAAGGCGCTTAGGTGAAACACATGCGTTTTTTTAGCGTGTTATAAATTCAGGGTGATTGGCTATGTTGTAATTGAAGGTGCAACTCTGTAGCAAAGAGAGAGGCTGAAGGGTGAACGGAGACACTAGAAGAGGAAGAATTGTTTCTCAAATATCCAACATTCTATTCTTGTTGTTTCATCTGGAATGGATTCAGATAGAGTTTTGATCGTACACAGAGTTTCGAATGGATCCATTTTGACCTGATTTGTCTTTACAAGTTAGTCCTTTACTATAACATACTCATTTTGATGCACTATGGCCAGCTATAAGCGACCCATGCTGAGGTAGGCGCTTTAAAACTTGTGTGAGCAACAGGAGTACTGCTTAAGCTTAAGCAAATGTCTAAGCAGACGCCCCTCTTTTTTTTAACAATTCTGCCAATTGTTCTGAAAACCCTATTTTTGTTGTTTTATCTGGAACAGATTCAGATACAGAGTTCGATTGGATCCATTATTATGCAGCTTGTTCTCTTCACTAGTTAGTCTTTAACGCAACATGCAAAGCATAAGTGATAACCTCGAAATCTACCAAGAGGTGTTTTTCGAGTCCACGAAGAACAATCTCCAGATCCACGAAGCACTTTTAATCCACGAATAAAATATTATAAGAAAAATTTTATTGATAAAAAAACAATCTATCCACAGGGTTTACAATCATTCTTCTTAAATAGAAAACATAGCCTATTCCTAATAGGAATAGAATTTCTAAAAATAGAAAATATCAAAACATTTTTTAAAAACTCTCTATAATAGAGGAACCAATTAGTCCAACATGAATCAAAATTGAATTTGTTTCCTATCCTACATAGACTCCAATATTAATTTAAAGCTGATTACGTTCTAATTTTTGCCAAAAAGAGCACTGCTGATAGAATTTCGAAAACTTACCAATCAAGATGGCTCCATTTCATCAAGAAAGGCAATTTTCATATATAATAAGTTCGATTCTGCTTTCTGGATTAGGAGATATTGTATTTTCTTTGCGGTCAAGTCAACAATGCAACTATATTCGTGTTTGACTCATGACGGTCCTATGCTCTATGAATTTGTTCATTATGCGTCCTACATCGGTCTCCCCATGTTAAAAGAAGCTCAACCCCGAGCCTGTATTAGTTTGAATAGTAGCTTCCTCGATAAACATTTTTCTTCACCTACGTCGATCAGCTGCGCCTTTTACTTAAACCACTTTTCCATCTGTTGTTTTGCCTCCTCAGCTAGGACTTCATGCACAATTCTTTCATCTCCTTCTCTGTGGACCCACCACTAAGCAAGTTATACATATCATGCTCGCAATTCTACCCCTCTCCATTGTAACGTCAGCCGATGAAACATCATCATGACTACTTTTAGGAATATCATGCACGATATTCATCTTCACTAACATATCGCAATGAACATCAGGAATCTCATGTCTTGCACCTTGGGAGGAATCTAGCAATATAATTTTCCTTTTTAGTTACAACTAGGGCATAAACCTCTTTGCATTCTTCAAATCTTCTATGAAGGTCTAGTTGTCAATCCATAGGAAGACTTTTTTTCTTAGTAATCTTTATCTTTGATGACTCCAGTTCCATGATCGACATAACTAAGTAGTTTTCTTTGTTGCTTCTTCGATGCTCTTCACAACTCCAGAGTCTTGCTCATGGGTAGATTATGGTTTCTTAGCCTTGCCACAATCATAACTAGCCTGAAAAGTGAATCGTTTCTTAGCCTTGCCACAATCATAACAAGCCTGAAAAGTGAAAACTCTCCGAAAACATCCATGACCAATATCCTTTATTATTCTATCCGAGTTGTCACTCCACCTTCTTTGCTAGACTGATAGTATCATGTAAAAATCTTTTGCAAAGACACGTCATTGCTTGTAATCAAAAGGTAGGAAATGCTCTTTTAATAATTTCTTCATGTTCACCCATGTTCTAACCGAACTCTTCAATCGACAAGCTCGATTCATCTATACTTCGTCCCACCATGCAGATGTTTTCCCTATAAGTTGGTCGACTACTAATTCAACCTTCTGATCTTCTGGGATCATTATGTACTCGAAATATCTCTCCACCTCACAATCCAATGAAGAAAATCTCCTGTATGAAGTTCCTATTGAAAGATGATAACTTGAATCCTCCAAAATCATAGTTCTCTCGTTTTTGGTAGCCTTTACGATCATCGCTATTGGATTTATGTTGTAGAGTACGATCTCGGCTTGGCAACCATTAACTAGATCTTGATCCTGTTCCAATTTTGAGAGCTCTAATGCCAACACAAGTTGGTCTACAGAAGCTCTGTACTCTTGTAACTAGATTGTAACAGCACGAGCTTCGTTTGCCATCGAATTAGAGAAATAGGGCTCCGATACCAATTAACGCAGCACGAAAGTAATAACATCGGAATCCACTAAGGATGTTCTTTGAATTTACGGAGAACAATCCTCAAATCAACGAAGAACTTTGAATCTACGAAAAAAATATTATAAGAGAAATTTTATTGATAAAAAAATGATACATCCATACAATTTACAACCTTCTTAAATAGATAAACATTGCTCCTAATAGGAATAGATTTCCTAAAAATAGAAAATATCCATGTTAAGTATAAGGCAGATGCTAATCAATGCAGGAGAATAAAGTGTTTATCAAGAAAGCTACTGTTCAAATAAATATAAGCTCAGGGTCAAGCTTCTTTTAATAAAGGGAGACTAATGTAGAATGCATAACAAACAAATCCATAGAGTATGAGACTGTCATGAGCCAAACACAGATACAATTACATTGTTGAGTTGACCACAAAGAAAAGATAATATCTCCTAATTCGGAAAACAGAATTAGTATAGTTATATATGAAAATTGCTTATCTCGACGAGATGGAGCCATCCAGATTGGCAGATCTCAAAAACTCTATCAGTCGTACCCATTTTTAGAGGAAATCTCAAAATAATCAGCTTTTAGTTTTTTTTAATAAAGTTAGAGTCTATTTAGGGTAGGAAACAAATTTAATTTTTCAATTTAGGCTGATTTATTTCCTCTATTATAGAGTCTTTTAAGTAACTTTGAAGAATTTTTATTTTTTAGGAATTCTATTTCTATTAGGAATATGTTTTGTTTTTCTATTTAAGAAGAAAAATTGTGAACTCTATGAATATAGATTGCTTTTTATCAATAAAATTCCTCTTATAATATTTATTTCCTGGATTCGAAGTTCTTCGTAGACTCAAAGATCGCTGTTCGTAGATTCAAATAATATAATTTGGTGGATTTTGAGGTTATCACTTCTGCACGGCGTTAACTGATTTGATGCATGACGTACACGTATACATGGACCATCAACTTGATGTGTTTAGGATTAATTAGGATTTTTACTTTTTTTGTAGAATTTGATATTATTCCATGTAATCTTTTCTAGTTAGGATTTGTTTAGGATATAATTTTAAGATCTGTTTCTAGTTAGTTAGGATTTTATTTGATTGCATCTTTTAGTTTTGTTAGATTTTAATTTGATTAGGATTTTGATTTATTTTCATGATTAGATGCTTTCTTATTCCATAAATAATACGTGTAATTCTCTATGAGGAATAGACGTTGATTAATAAAGTTTGAGTATGAGAAATCTGTCTAGACATATATATCGTTTGCATTTGGCATGCTAAGTGACATGGGTGTGAAGCTCTTAGGCGTGAAGCCTATTTTTTTGGAGTGAAACCCTTAAGTGTGATGCCCTTTATCTAAATCTTCTCCTTGTTCAATCGTAGTCATCAAATAAAAAAGCCTCACAATCTTAACCTTGACCCACTCCAAACAATGTTTAAAAATATCCCTGTAGCATTACTATTCAACAAAGAACGTTAACTCAAAATACCGCCAACAAATGAATAGTAATCCAAGATACTGTTCACAAGATGAACAGTAACCATCAACCTATTTATGCGCCCCCATCCTCTATTTCCCATGCTGCCGATTGCGTTGCATCAAGACGTCAAATAAATATGAATAATTATCAAAGGCCACATGTTTGAAACTCATCCGTAGTCGGATCGGAGCAGTCAGTGGGCCATCGATGAAACGAAGGTCGTGGGAGGCGATGACTCCTTGAGGTCATAGTAGAGATGCCTCCTAGGCATTCTATCAAATGTTTTGTGTGCAACATTGTCGACTGGCATTGAGCGGCTGTCGAAAGTGAGAAGGTTTGTGCTTGTCGTTAGCGGGAAGTCGACAAAGGTGCGGCGCCGCGAGTGTTGCTGATAATGCTAGTAGTAGGAGGGTTTACGGGTGTTGCCCACGATACTATCAATGGGAGGTCTTGCAGGTGTTCGGGTGTTGTCCACGATGCTTTCAGTGCAAGGGCGTGTGGGTGTCGTTGTAGATGCTAGCAGTGCGAGGATAGCAGTGTGGGTGTAGGAAGTTTGACTACAGTGCGGCATATCATTCAACGGTTGGTGTGCTAATGAAGGTAGAGAAGATGGTTGTAAGAAATGAGATTTGGATGCTTGTGAATTTTTGGTTGAGTTGAGTTTGGGAGAGCGATTTGGGTGCATTGGTGTTTGGGATTAGTAGGATTTGAGTGGTGAAGGTGTGTGGATGGTGGAGTTAATGACAATTGTGGAATTTTGTATGGGAGCTTGAGATGATGTGCTGGTAGGGGTTTGCAGTGGCTTGCATATGACATTGGATGAAAGTTGTGGATTGAATGCAAAGGGTGATGGGTGATTGGTTGCAGTGCATAAAGGATTGGCTGGGGCAATCTATGGTGAAGAGGGGAAGTTGTCAAGGTAATGCTCGAGGGCTAGCATGGTGGTGGCATGGAGGGAGCTTGAGTGTTAGGTGCTAAGTTGCATAGAAACGGATATTGGTACTGGTTCCAGTGTGGATACGGGTACAAGGCATGACCAATGTGTAAATGTAGAGTACGAGGAGTCAGGAACACAACTAGACAGACACACACACATATATTGAAATTAATAACTTACATGACATTATTATTGTTTTTCAATTCATGTGTTATTAGAATTAAGATTCCTATCGTGTTTCTTATTTCTTTTATTATGTTGATTATTACAAATTGGAAACTGCTCGTTTTTTAACTAGACAATCAAAAGGCCCTTGAAATTCAGAGTTTTGATCCCAAACATGGGCTTAGGATATGTGTCCAGAAGTATGACAAGTTTTAAGTTAGAACATATATCATACAACTGAGTGATGGCCTAAAAAATGTATGGATATATCCAATGAGTGTCCATGAAGTTTGGGTATAGGTACCTGTTGGATACGTGTCCAGTACGGGTATGGCTTCATGATAGAAATACCCGGGTAATGCGGGTTAGGTAAGGGTAGTTGCCACGGATGTGGGCTATGCTCGAGTGCTAGCAACGTAAGATTGCTGGAGGAGGAGGTGCTCAGTTGCTGGTGGAGCACAGTTGCTAGGGTCGAAGTCGTGAAGGGGGATCACAGAGATGAAATTTACGGTGAACCCCTTAAGCCCGAGGTTGAGGAAGAAAGAAGAGGTCTCTCTAAGATGAAGTAGATAACTCCGAAACCAATTAACGCAGCGCGAAAGTGATATCCTCGGAACTCACTATGGGTTGTTCTTCAAATCCATGAAAAGCATTCTTCAAGTAGAAGAAAATATTACAGAAGGAATTTTATTGGTAAAAAAATGATCTATCCATAGGATTTACAATCCTTCTTAAATAGAAAAATATAGCCTACTTCTAATAGAAATAGAAGCCTAAAAATAAAAAATATAAAAGCTACTTCAAAAATTCCATATAATAGAGGAAACAATTTAGTCCAATATGAATCAAAATTTGAATTTGTTTCATAAAGAGACTCTTATTTTATTACTACGAACAGACTAAAAGCTGATTATTTTCGGATTTCCGCCAAAAATGGGTACTGCTGATAGAATTTCAGAGATTTACCAATCTGGATGACTTCTCTCATCGAGAGAGGTGATTTTCATGTATAATAGTCGGATTCTGCTTTCCGAATTACGAGATATTGCCTTTTCTTTGCAATCTAGTCAACAATGCAACCATATCTGTGTTTCGCTCTTGATGGTCCCATGCTCCATATATTTATTTGTTATGCGTCCTACTTAGTGCTTTATTATATAACATGTTCATTTTCACGCGGTATGGCCCGCTATAAGCGGGCCATGCTTGCTTAGGCGCTCCAAAAATTGTGCAGGAACCGGAGTACAGCTTTAGCTTAACCAGATGTCTAGGAAAACACCGTCTCGCTTTTAAAGCAATTCCACCAATTGTAATTTACCTACTAAAAGTGAAGATTGATATGCTTGTTCGTTTTTCAGGAAGCTATTTGCTGGTTTGGTTGCTAAAGTGATAATTACGATCGGAAGTTGATTTCATAAATATAACTAAATTAGAGTGAAATGCAGTGGCAAACTTTATAAAGAAGATATATGTAAGAGGTAAAGACCATACTTAAAAAAAAATTCTTTCCACACAAATGTGTAGCTCTCACCGTGTTCACCCTCAGTATGATTCAGTGGACAATCATCTTAATCTATTCAAAATGGAAATGCTACGACAATTTCCCTGGCATTTTAGATCCCAAAGCAAGCCACATCTGCATCATTTGTAGTAATCTGTTGACAACTACTCTTCCTCTGTTACTCTAGATAAAGGTTATTTATTCAATCTATTGAGACATCACATTATGAAAATCTTGATACCACTACGTGAGTCAACGTTTCCGTCCTAAAAAAAATCCGATATGTTAGACTATAAAATTATAACCCTAAACCCTCACCACAACTTCAGAGTTTAGTGACTTTAAGAACAAATACTTAAAAGTAACCATTATATATCTTTATTTTTCACAAGTATAATCAGAACAAAATTTTGCATAGTTATTACTTGTACAAATACAATTAGCTTCAGGTTGAAATCATCAACAATTGTCAAAATTTCCAACAGAAATTGACCACATAATTTCAAATGTCAGTATGAACTTCACTAACCATTCACTCATTTATAAACGCAATCACAGAGTATAGATTACCACTAATTTCAAACTTTATACAGCAGTATACTTCTTCAACTTCAGAAATTTCCAAATTTCTCTAAAATTATCACAAAAACCAAAAAAAAAAAAAAAATCTCACCTCAACCGAACTTCAACAGGATCCTCATCCGGGAACATCTCCGGCATCTCGTCATAGATCCGATTCGCGCCGCCATCAGCACAAAGACGCAACCTTGCTGCTCTACAACCGGCACCAACAAAAAACCCCAAAATTAAACAAAAACAAACCAAAATCTACAAAAAAAAAATTCTAAGACCCCAGAAAGGATCACGTACCGTGATTCCAGATAAGAGGGGCGAATCGAGGGAGGCGCTGGTTAAGGACGACGAGTGCGTACGTTAGCGCGGGGCCGCTGTTGCACTGAGGAGGCGGGGGGAGGAGAAACGAAGATGAATGGGTCATCCATTTCGCCGGTTCCATCTCCTCGATGACGACGCTAACGTGCGCAGGTCGATAGTCGCACTGTGGTCGATAGTCGCACTGGTGGAGGTCGTCCCCTGATTTGCGTTAACGGTGAGGGGAAAATAAAGAAGAATTTTTTATTTATAAAAAGGCCCTCTACGTAATCTATTTTGCTTTTTATTCAAAAGTCGAGTTTGTTATGGGCAGCTGTCAAAAATAATCACGTACGTAGCCCTCTTTAAATTGTCTATAAATCTAACTAAACTTTTAAAATCATGTTTAAAAGTCTAACATAATAGTTATTGTTTGCTTCTGTGAATCGGGAACTACGGTTCTCGAGATTACCTGATTACGTTCTTGGCATAACGATCAGAAAGTAACAAACACCTCAAATAATGTACACAATGATATGAGGAGGAAGAATACGATGATTTCTATATTATTGTATGTGTCTATATGTTTCCGCGTGTGCTTATGTAGAAAGTGGAGATTACACTCTTAGTCGAACTAGACTTCTAACTCTGTTCTATTTAAATTATGAGTTAGTCATTTTATTTAAAATTAGTTAAAGCTACGGTGATCCGCCCACTCGATTTAGGTGTGTTATGCATAAGAAAAAAAGTTCACAATTATCAAATAAAAATAACTGCTAACATATTAGCTGTGCTCTAATAATGATTCAATATGACTAAGTGAAATTTATTTTAAAGAAAAACTATCTCCATACTAATTAGCTTTCATGTCTAATTAACACAAAGTCATCAAGATTTAATCATATTTGGTATTATTAAAACAACTTGAAACTCTTATATAATTGGATACTTTGTCGCAAGAGGTCACTATCCCAACAATTAGCGTGTCTCAAAAATTGGTAGCATTATAAGGCAAACCGACACCTAGTCGTACTTTGGATATCTTCCTAATTCCTACCCGTTGACTAATTATTATTCTTGTCCTAAAAAAACGTTAGTGTTTAAAGTCCCCACGCTTTCACGTTTAATTTTTTTTTGTTCTTTGCGTGGATTACACGAGAACCTATTTCATCAGTTAAATTACCAAACTATAGGGTTGATTTTGCAAAGTTCGAGTAAAATCTTACAGTGGGCCCCACTGAAAAACAGAGACACAAAAGGTTACGCCTTTTGACATCGTCACGATAACCTCTGCTCATTTCTATTATTTGGCGGTAGGGCTGTCGCTTCTTCAATTTTTCTGACTCAGGAACGTGATTCGCTGCAGCAAATAGGTAAGATTCAAGAATTTATATCTAGTCCCTTATAATTTTTTATTTGCATCATAACTCTTTTGTATACAAGTTGTTTGACAAAATTGCACTGTGGATAGATTGATGATTTGCTGTTTTGTGGATTTAAGGACCGACAAACTACTGCGCGCAAGTTGTTTGATGCAATACCTCACTGAAAGCTTAGCTATGTTTGAACCCACCATTGGATGAGCTTTATGGTATCTATTATTGAATTAAAGGATGTTAAGGATTTTATGGAATACTTATAAAGATTTAGGTCTAACGACTTTAATCATATTCACAAGTTTAAGATTTGGGAATAGTTCATGGAATTGTTTGGGAACTATGGATTATAATCCACTTGAGCTATAATGTATTTGTACATTACAGCCCATGTGGACTATAGTCCAAAGTGTGTGGTAAATTTAGTGAATTATAATCCATTTTTAAACTTTACATGTTTGGCAAATGAGTAGAGTGTAATCCATCATTGTTGTCAAAATGACCGAAAAGAACATGGAGTTGGTGGCGAGTTAATAAATAGGCTTGGGATTTTATGAAATCACGAGGGATAAGATTATCTTTTACCTGGTAAAATTGTATCCTAGCTTATTTTCTGGTGGATTAGAAGACAAAATAAGCCACTTGCCACATCTCAAAGTGGATTATAATATACTTTTATGGCTTATAAGCTACTTTAACTACTTGCCAAACATGCTCATAGAAGGATGGAATGGATGTTTAGTTAAGGAGGGTTTTCTAGATGCGATTCATGTTATTCACGGAAAACATGGTTTGGCATCACATATGTAAAGTAAAACATGTAGGATTATACATGTTGATTGTGGATGAAAAGCTTTTTTTTATTTCCAAATATTTTACGTAACAGTTTATGACTTTATATTTGAAAGAGAATGAGTATAATGGTGTGTTTGTGATTATGTGAAAACTGCATGGTTAATAACTAATAAATGATGATTAGTTGTACTTTCTTGATAATTGATGGTCCTAGAAAAATTTTAGAGTGTCAATTAGGTTTATTTTAAGATAGAGATCGAACTGTAATGGATGGTTTAGATGGTTAAAAAAAGGAAAGAAAGATAGTCTTCAAAATGAAAGGAAAGAAAGATAGTCTTCAAAATGATCGAACTGTAATGGATGGTTTAGATGGTTAAAAAAAGGAAAGAAAGATAGTCTTCAAAATGAATGTGAAGATTTTGATGGGAGAATAGTGAGAGCTGAATGTGAAACCAAAAAGTTTTTTTTGGTAGACCAAACAAAGGGAAAACTTCTGAAACAAATAGAACAAACTAGACATGAAGAAAACCGTCATCAGACGGCATCATCTGAGGTCATTTCTTGTCCCGAAATGTCATGATTAATAAAGTGGTAAATCTTATATGGCACCTTCTCAAAAAATTGTAAAACCAAGATCCTAATTGATTCCTAAGTTTGAGAGAAAGTTCGCATCCCTGTACATCTACTGCACAAGAGCCTGCCATGGATTTTTCAAAAGCTCCCGGATGCTAATGATGATATTATAGTGAGGATTATCATTTGTAGCATTTTGAATGACATGTGCCGCCTCGTAATCCTTTTCCAACACAATTCACCGACAACACCACTCCTGAGCCAAATGAAGCCTATAGAAAGTAGCCCACAATTCCAAGTAAGCACATTAGTAGCACCCAAACAATCCGTTAAGCTAACAACCCAAGCTCCTTTATCATCATGAAGCAAGCCCCTGATGCCGACCAAACCCTAGCGCAATGACTCTGCCCTTAACATGCCATCCATATTAAGCTTTATCCATCCCACTTGAGGAGGTTCCCAGCTAACCATAACCTTCAAGCTGATTGGCTTATCCAAAAAGTTTTTGGTAAGGAGGCCAAAAAGTTTGATACGGTATTAAGGTAAATTAACTGCAAGAGGATTTTGTTTATCTTGATTTCGTGCTTAACTTACAAATTTTTTCAGAAGTACGCAGATTCAGTGACTACAATGTAAATAGGTTTTTGATGATAGAAAATAAACATCACAATTTCATGAGTTTAGTTAGATATTTAGGCACTTCTGAGCTAAAAGAAAGGAATAGCTTCCATAAAATGGTAAACTATTATTCTCCAATAGATAGACCTCTCTTGGCTGCTCCAAATCTATCAGACATGTTAGGCACAAACAATTCGACCTTGCCCAAACTATTAGGATAGAGAATTATTACAGGACAAACTTGAGCAAAGCTTAGGTAATATTGTAGAAAGGTGCATCCAGAATTGACCAAATCAGCCACCACTATGATGATGTGGGTGCTCATATTATCGCAAAGCTTGATGCCATAATCACCATGATTTATTACATATATATCTCCATGCTTCCATCATGGAGGTCACCTTAGCGTACAATATTACTGATACAAAAACATTATTGGGGCCATTATGAGGAACAAATTCTAGAATTAGAGATTAGATCTTCTGATATGATTACTGCAGTGACTCTTAACTGAGACAATTTTGGTCAAAGTATGTTCAAAATCGATGTCAGGTGAAGCTGAATACAAACTCACAGTAAATGGAAACGTCATTAACATTGAGGTGCAATTCAATCTAACATCTCTTCCATAATGGAAAATTGATGGAAACTTGAAAGACCACATTGCAATTATTTGATTCCCTTTTTAAAATTGAATTTGTCTATTACTTAGAGTCAGTAAGGACTAAAATTGTGATGATTTATTTGTTAAGCATTTATGACTTATTTTGGTTGAGGAATTGGGATATTATATTTGGTAATTGTGATGTTATACTTGAAAATTATGATGCTTTAATATATTAAAATCATTGTAAATATTTTTTATTTATTAAAATTTAAATTAATAATAAAACACACAGCCTACATTACACGTTAAGTTACTTTGACGTCTTATGTTATTGAGAGGGAAGTGTTATGTTATGCGCAATGCGTTATTTTCAACATTGTCTGTAACTTTGTTTTTGGTCAGGATTGGTCATGGATGATGGATTAATTTAGTTTGATCAGGATTTAAATCATTTTCTTATGCTAGAATTGAAGCTTGAGCAGAGTTCCAATCGAAGTAGAACCCTGTGGAGATTGTAAATATGGAAATTCTTGTACTTTAATTCTTGTATTTTCTGCGGTTTTTTATTAATAAAAAATTGGTAGTAATTATTAACGTTATTGATTGATTGAATTGATGACTGAGTTCTGTGTTTATCTTTCTCTGTTTTTCTCCTTTTCCTTCTCCTTGCTTCACAAGTTTCTTCTTGAACCAAAGTATCCTACACTATCTAATCTTAGAATTACAACCTATCGAACTTATAGTGGCTTGTACTGGAAACTTCAGAAGTTATAGTGTCAAAATAGCCACTTAGCAATACTCTAAGTTGCATGTTGAACAATTTCTAGACATGCTAGAAATGTTTTTGTTTGATCAGACCTAGGAGGCACCCTTACTTGCCAGTCCAGATTAGATGCCTTTCAATCCCCATTAGATTGGACCAATGTGGTAATTGTCAATGCAGAGAAACTTTCAGAACATTGTGACGATGCTCACTGAAAATGATTCTATTAAATGCAACCTTAGATCTTTTTTTTTTTCCTTAAGCTCCTAAATAGATAAAATTGTTAAAAGTAAAGGGAGTCCGGTCAGTACCTTGTCATGCTAATTTTTTTAGTTCATGGAGAACCAATTTCACATTTAAAACAACATATATTTTTGACTTTTTAGGAGGTTATGGTCCATGATAGGTTTTTTAGTGTCAATTATCCTACAAATCTGATCTAAGAAAGGATGGTTAGGCCCTACGCTGCCTCGAATGACGCACACCAATATACAAGAAAAATATTGCGTGGGTATTA